CAGGTACTTTTGGAAATATAGTCACTGTTGTAATGTAGGAAATGTTACAGCCAATTTGTGCACAGAAAGATACCATTACATAAAGTATTCATGACCTGGCCAACTATTTATCTGATGCTGCTTCAGAGATAATGACCTGAACATGAGGAAAAGCTTCCCTGATCACATTCAAAAGAGCATCGTGGGATCTTTCACATTTATCTTCTGAGTGTGGATGGGGCTTTAGCTCAGTATTTTATCTGAAGGACAGCATCTCCGCCAGTGCAGTACCTCTGCAGTATAATACTGAAGTGCCAGCATAGCGATTCAGTCATCAAGGACTGTATACCATATACACTCATTTTTAAAAGATAAACTTCATGCTTGAAGCAGTGTGCCATGTAGATCATTTGCAATTTGCAATCATACTTTTGAATATTCAATAAATAGTTAGAATCACATTTGAATACGTAATGCGACTGAGTCTTCCAGACCATCACCGTTCTTGGTAAATGACATTTCATAAGTTGACTGGAAAGACTTTTTTTTTAAAACATAGGCCAATGTATACAAACATTTAACATTCTGTTTAAGCTAGGGAATGATGTGAACATTGATCTTGCTATTGTGCCAAACTGAGGTGAATAATACGTGATGAATGCAATGGTGATAGGAACAAAAGGATTTGTTGAAAGGTTTGGATGATGTAGAGTAGGTGTATGGGAGCATAAGCACCAGCAAGTGAGCCAAATGGCCTGCTTCTCTGCTTAAATTTGACATGAATTTTGTAACCGGGTGAGGTTATACTTCTGAACCACATCAGCATATTCACTGCTCTGCCAGTTCTATAATCTGAATTGGATGTCTTTTTTTTAAAAAAAAGCTCTGTAAATATAGAGGGTTACATCATATTGTGTATTCTTAATGATGGGAAAACCAGGCATTAAAGGGACTATTTGAACCTAGGAGCAGGAGTAGACCATTCAGCCTTTTGAGCTAGCTCCACCATTTCAGATCATGGCTCAGCATCTATCTCAATGACATATTCCTGCGCTATCCCTGTATCCCTTGCGTCATTAGTGACTGTCATTAGAAATCTATCAATCCTTTGTTTTGAATGTGCTCAATGACTGAGATTGCACAGCTGTCTAGGGTTGAAAACTCCAAAAATTCACCAGCTTCTGAGTGAAGATGATCCTTCTCATTTCAGTCCTAAAGGGCTTGTCTTTTATTCTGAGATTGGGACCCTTAGTTCTAGAGTCCCATATGCAGTGGAAGCATCATTTCTGCACTTATTTGGACTATTCCTTTCAGAATTTTAAGTTTCTATGAGATCATCACCTCTCATTCTTCTAAACTGCAGAAAATACATTCATTCTCCTCCAATGTCTCTGCATAGGAGGGGCCCACCATCCCAAGTATCAGTCTGGTAAATCTTAGCTGACCCTTCTGTGGCAATTAATCTTTCCTTCAGCAAGAGAGCAAAAACCACACAAAATATTCCTGGTGCAGTCTCACCGGTATTCTATACAACTGAAGCAAGACATCTTTGCTCACCTACTCAAAATGCGCTTGTGGCATACTGTTTGCCTTTTGAATTGCTTGCTACAAGCTTCATACTGTCTTTCAGTTGACTTTTAAACAAGGACACCTAGATGTCTTTGGACATCAGCACTTTCCAATTTTCTCACCATTTTTAAGAAATACTCTATACTTTTGCTTCTCCTACTAAAATACATAATCTCACTCTTATCCACATTACATTCAACCTTCCAAGTGCTTGCCTACTCACTTGGCTAAATCCCCTTGAAGCTTCGTTGCATTCTCCTCCTCAACTCTCTCATTCCTACCAAAATTTGTGTTGTTTGCAAATTTGGAAATATTTATGATTGGCCCAAACCTCCAGATTATTGATATAAATTATGACTGAAGCATTGATCCTTCCGGCATCCAACTGATCAAGGTCTGCCAATGTAAGAATGACCCACTCATTCCTATTCTCTGCTTACTAACCCCACCACGATTCATATGCATATTTCTGCTAGTCTTACATGCTCTAATTCTATTAATAAAATGTGGTGATCCTGCTGATTTTTTAACAGCAGAATCTCCAGGAATTCATTTGATTTCTATCTCGGTCTGTCTCTGTCTGTCTCTCTGTTTCTGTTACCTGGCTGACAGCTTCTAGAGTGTCAGACTGACTGGCTGTTGGATAGATAAAGTTGCAATTGGAAAATAGAGGGGAATGAGGGAGAAATTGCCAGTCATGTTGAGAGCAAGGGGGTGTTTTGGAGCTGAGGTGGAGATTGGAGTGTGAATCATGGGGAGAGAAGCAGCCTGGTTTGATGTCCTGTGGGTAAGCAGTCCTGTTCCCCTCGCTAGCGCATAAACAGTGCTGCAAAGACACCTCACTGGTGAAAGTAGCCCTTTTGCCCTTTCTGAGTTGCAGGATCCAACTGGTGGTTACACACTTGCTTGCTTAACACTGAGCCTAATAGTTCATTATGTCAATGCATCCCCTGTGATTTTCAGAAATGTCTCAAGTGGAATGCGATGCACATTTCCCAATACTATTGATGCTTTCATGTCACAGAGAACCTCCCAAAATACTATGCAAGACTTAAGATAACTTTGAAAGGTATTATTAAGAATGCCCAACAGCTCAGAATATTTTGGAACTGACAACTGGTGAAATCGAGAAACAAAAGAAAAACTGCACTGGACAGTTCCAAAGAAATGAGTGAATGCAATCATGACATAAGTCAAAAAAAATTGTGGAGCTGGAAAAGCACAGTGGATCAGAATAGCATCTGAGGAGCAGGAAGGCAGCGTTTTGGGTCAGAACGCTTCTTCTATTTGGGTTGCCAGTGCATGCTTTGACGTGTTTTAAAGTTGATTAGAGTTAGCTGATATTTTGGTCAGGAGGTCGAATCCTAACCTGGAATCTCTCATCAGCTGTTTTTCTGCCACAATTTTATGCTGATGTAACTGGAAATAAATTCTCAGATTTTAAATAAAAATATTATGGTCATGAAGCAGTCAGAAACGAACACATTGCTCTTTTGTTGCAGTGCAACATTTATCATTCTGAGCATTCTAAGATGCCTTGTTGTGAATGGATCAAATTAAAATTTCCCTTTAACAAACATATTTTCTTTCTCCTTTGTACTTTCTACGTTTTACCAATTGGTAGCAGGGAATTATCATATTAAGGTTTTCCCAAATTTGCGTGGGATAAAAAGGTTAACTCAGCATGTCCACCCTTCCTCCATATTACTCACCCCAGACATGTAACACAGCAGACGCTTAAAATGTGAGTTCTGAGACAGTGGCTTTTGGTTTCAAACAAAATTCTTTGCTGAAATCCCTGTGTTTGTATTCATTTGCTAAGGGTTTCTGGTACAGCTGAGTATGAGGTTTCTGGGTGGGATATACCACCGATGTGCAGCTGCTTCTAAGTTTACCCACTGATTTATTCTCTGGAGGGTTCCTCTGGAATGCCTAATCCACTGCAGACCTTAGCACAGTCCCACAGGGACCAGGTTGCAGCTTGTTATCATATGTTCACTGTGCTTGAGGTGAGAGGGTCAGAATGGAAGGATTTAAGCCAATCATCATCTCTCTCTGTCAAGGAACGCTTTGGGGGAAGGAATTATCCCATAGGGAGTTAAAGTAACAAACTCTTTTATATGAATTTTTTTGAACCTTATCTGCAAATCTCACAACACTTTAAATATACAGTGAGTCTTTCTGTAAAAGACTGAAGCATTTCATTCTCCAATATTTGCATTGTAACGATAGTGTGAAGGGCTTTGGTATGGAAAATGGAGTTAAGATTTCATTACTTTACAAAGTGAAAATATTATATGGTAGAATATAATAAATTATAAAAATATACTACTCATAGGTTGTAACAAAGAAACATTTCATAAAGGATCAGCCAGTTGCCAAGTTTGCCTTTATATCTTGCCACGATTAAAGAATAATCTGTTTTTACAGAGTTTGCAGATAAATCAGTTCCACATTTTTATTAAATAGGAGAAGGAAAATGAGTATATTTAAGTCTTTCAGCAGGCAATCAATATGGTCCTCACGTGTTTGAGAGAAATCAAGTTGTGGTTCTTAACATTTATTCGCAGCCTAAATGAATTTATTTTGTCTCACATGCTCTCTTTAGAATTTCAATCTATTTTAAAAATAAATAATTTGAGCAGAATCAGTTCTGAAAGGTCCCACTGCAATATTTGCACTCGTGTTGCAGTGAGGTGAAGGCTATTAAATTAATGTTATCCTAGGGAAATCAGTTTCCACCCTAGTGAAGTATTCTACATCATAAGGAACCAGCACAAATATACACAGGCTACTCAATGTATTGCTATTGGATAAGAATGTTATGAAGAGCAGAGATCAATGTTATATTCAGTGGTAATGAATAGAGTATTTGATTTAGAGTTGTATTTTGTGTACTGGTGACAAAAATGTGAAGTAAAACAACGTGACTCAGCTAAACAGACAAAAAAAGGCCCCATGTGCAACTCCCCAAGTTCTATTAAGAATTAGAGTCAACAAATGTGGAGCTGGAAAAGCACAGCCTGTCAGGCAGCACCCGAGGAGCAGGAAAGTCAACGTTTCAGACTGAAGCCCTGATGAAGGGTTTTGGCCTGAAACATTAACTTTCCTGTTCCTCCGGTGCTGTCTGACAGGCTGTGCTTTTCCAGCTCCACGTTTGTTGGCTCTAGCTTCCAGCATCTGCAGTCCTTACTGTCTCTAAGTCTGTTAAGAGTTAGTTGATTAATCAATAGGACCACCAATTGTGACATGGAGATAAGTCTTGTTGTGTCTGGGTTGGTGAAAGGAAAAATCAACCAAGGTTCCATTTTCCCCATCCGGTGGCCCCTCCAAGCATAACAGGCCACTGGTGATGTCAGGACAGGCTGAGCCCATTATTCTGTGATACTTACTTCCTGTTTGTGCTCCTAGCAAAAGAATTGAAACTTGGCAAGACATTGTAGCTCTTGTGATGATCACAGACCCTGAATAGCAGCAGAAAACAGACTCATCAGGAAAGGAAGAAAATGGTGAGAATGTGAAACTTCTATCATGGCGTGTTCAACGTGATTGACATAGATGTAACTAAGGAGAAGCTAGATAAGCATATGAGGAAGAAAATAATTTGAGGATGTGGTAATAGGGTGAGATGAAATAATAAGGGAGGAGATTTGTATGGAACTTAAAACACTACCATGGAATTGTTGGGCCAAATGTCCTTTTCTGTGCTGTGACATCCTATGTATGTTCTATGCAAGTTTTGGAAAAATGGTATCTATTTAATTGCTTGAATTTTGGTGGGGGTGTCTATATATAGAGACTACCTTAAAGCAAGTCTATGTGAGTGATGGGATCTGGTGTTTCTCATCTTAATGGAAGCATTTGATTGCTAATTCTGAAAGTCTTCATGTCAACACTTAATAGAATTATTTACAACAACGATAACAAAAACAGAAGTTGCTGGAAAAGCTCAGCAGGTCTGGCAGCATCTGTGAAGAGAAAATCAGAGTTAATGTTTCAGGTCTGGTGACCCTTCCTCAGAACTCATAGAATTATTAGAACAGAATTAGTTAGACTGCTATAGCCATCAAAAGAAAATTATAAGCATATCATCAATAAACTGGTTAAAATACTTATGTCTTGGGCATTGCAGACTAAAGGAAGTTCTACTAAAAGCCTTTGTTGTGCCTAAGTTAGGATAGAAGACATTGCTGGGTGTACAAAGTGTTTTATTTCCCAATAATAACTCATTTTTGGCAGCATATAAATATCGCATTAAAATCAAAACTGGTCAATAAGTCTATTCAACCAAACAGATGTATGATTTGGACAAACTGAAGGGAGTACAATCACAATTATCATTAAGATTGGATTCCACAATTCAATAATTTGTGCACATAAGAAATGGACAATTAATTGATTGAATAAATAAAACACATTTTGGGAGCATCTCAAGTTAATTTGTCAGTTGATGGCAACATTGAAGATTCCAATTCTCCAGCTTTTGTTGTGAAATGGCAGCAAATCCTCTGTGAAAACACCACACTCAGATGTCTGAGGGGAACCTAGGGGCATGTCTACCAGTGCTAATGAAATTCTTACTCTTACTGTGAACAGTGCATTGAATTGTACCATGTTCTGTGTACAAATGTTTTATTTATGGGCTTTAAGAGACCGGTGGTGTTTCAGCTGTGGCTTGGTGACAGTGATCTCACTTCAGAATCAGAAGGTAGTGGGTTCAAGACCTTTTAAACGTGAAATTTAGGCTAGCACTTTAGAGCAGCACTGAGGGAGTGATGGAGCATAAATCTCAATGTTGTCCTCAGGTTTCTGTGGTGGTTCTTGAACTAACAACCTCCGTAGTGCTAAGGGAGTGCTACACGATCAAATATGTGGCCTTATACTAGAAATGTTAAGGTGAGGCCTTGACTGTCCTCTGACTGGGTGGCAAAGTTACCCCAGTACTGTTTGACTAAGAACAGGGCAGCTATCTCTGGGTATCCTGGTCTATAATTGTCCCTCAACCAATACATGATGTGGACATTTATTTCAGCACAACTTGTGGGATCTTGTTGTACCCAAATTGGCTGCCATGTTTCCTACATTGTGACAATGAATAAAATTATATAAGTGCTTGAAAATTATCAAATACTTTGAGAATCCCGAACTTCCTGATGGGTGCAGTATGAATGGAACTTTTCCTTCTTTTTGTTTCTTTTCAGCTTGTGGCATGACTTTTTTTTTTGCAAGGTTGTTTGGGCCATATGAGAGGAGTAGGTATTTTCAATGCATGGTACATGATTAGATGCATGATAATGACCATTATTTAGTAAGATTTAAAGTCCTTATGAGTAAGGATGAAGATGGATTGGATATGAAGGTTGTGAATTACAGGAAAGTTTATTTTAAAAAAAAACATAAAGTAAGATGGGATCTGGCCAAAGTGAACCACAAATGGTTACTTGCAGGAAGTTCCATATCTGAGCAGTGAGAGACATTCAAAAGGCTAATAGGAATGTGTTGGCCCTGCATTCGCTGTAGAGGTGAAGGATGTAACCAACAGGTACAGAGAACACTGAATGTCAAGGAATGTACAGGATTGAATTTGGGGCGGAAAAAAAAGAAGTTTGTGTAGATGGGCACTTGCGGTTGAGCCTGAGAGGAGTACAGAAAGTGCAGGAGGTTGGTTATAAAAGAAACTAGGAAAATATAGAGGGGACATGAAAAAACATTGGTTAACATAAAGGATAATCCAAAGACATTTCATAAGTATGTTAGGGGCAAATGAATAACCAAGGAAAGCATTGGCCCACTGGGGATTAAAAATGGCAATGTGTGTGGAGCCAAAAGACATAGCTCATGCTTCAAATGAATACTTTACATCAGTGTTCACAGTAAAGAAGGCTGATTATAGGTCTAGAAATAGAAGATGGGGACTGTGATGCACTTGAACAAATTAGCACCGAGAGGGAGAAGGCATTAACAGTTTTAGCAGGCTTGAAAGTGGATAAGTCTCCAGGCCCAGATGAGATGTATCCCAGGCTGCTGTGGGAGGTAAGGGAGGAGATTGCATGCGCTCTGTTAATTATTTTTAAATCCATTCTGGCTACAGGAAAGGTGCCACAGGACCAAAGGAAAACTAATGTTGTACCATTATTCAAGAAAGGTGGTAATGATAAACCGGAAATGCCAGGCCAGGGAATCTAGTCTCTGGGGAAGGAAATTATCAAAAAAAAATTCTGAGAAACAGAATTAATCTTCGTTGGAAAGGCAAAAATTAATTCAGGAACGTCAGCACGACTTTGTGAGGGGGGGATCCTCTCTAACAAATTTGATTTCAGTTTTTATTTTTAGGAATTACTTGATGTGTAGATGAGGATAGTTCAGTTGACAAAAAACAGAAATTTAAGGAAAAAAATCAACAGGTCTCACAGCATCTGCAGAGCAAAAGCAGAATTAATGCTTCTTCACAACGAGTTCATTTAATGTAATGTTCAGTTAATCTGTCCATGACAGTATTGGTAAGAATGACCATCACATCGTCCTTGTGGAGATGAAGTCCCACTTTCACATTGAGAATACCCTCCACCGTATTGTGTGGTACTATCATTGTAAAAAATAGCGCAGACTTTGAATAGATCTAGCAACTTAAGACTTGGCATCCATGAGGCACTGTGGGCCATCTAAAGCAGAATTGGATTCCAACACAATCTGCAACCTCATGGCCCAGCATATCTGCTAATCAGCTATTACCACCAAGCTAGGGGATCAGCTCAGGTTCAATGGAGAGTGGAGGACGGCATGCCAAGAGAAGCACCAGGCATACCTAAAAATGAGGCGTCACTGTAGCGATGCTATCAAACAGGACTATTTGCATGCCAAACAGCATAAGCAGCAAGTGATAGACACAGCTAAGTAATCCCACAACCAGTGGGTCAGATCTGAACTCTGCAGTCGTGAATGGTGGTGGATAATTAAACAAGTCACTGAAGGAGGAGGGTCCACAAATATTTCCACCCTCAATGATGGAAGAGCCCAACACATCAATATAAAGTATAAGACTGAAGCATTCACAACAATCTTTAGCCAGAAGTGCCAAGAAGATGATCCATCTCACACTCTTCCAGTCGTCCCCAGCATCACAGATACCAATCTTCAACCAATTTGATTCACTCCATTTTGGAGGCACTGGCTACTGCAAAGGCAGTGGGTCCTGACAACTTTCTGGCAATAGTACTGAGAATTTGTGCTCCAGAACTTGCCGCTCCCCTAGCCAAGCTGTTGCCATACAGTAACAACAGTGGCCATCTATCTGATAATGTGGAAAGTTGCCCAGGTATGTCCTATACACAAAAAAGCAGGACAAATTCAACATGGCCAATTACTGCCCCATCAGTTTACTCCTGATCATAAGTGACAGAAGGTGTCATCAACAGTGCTATCAAGCAGCACCTGCTCATCAATAACCTGCTCAATGACACCTAGTTTGGGATCTGCCAGGACCACTCAGCTCCTGACCTCATTTATAGCCTTGTTCAAACATGGAGAAAAGAGCTGAATTCCAGAGGTGAGGTGAGAGTTACATCCCTTGACATCAAGGCTGCATTTGACTGAGTATAGTATCAAGGAGTCCTAGCAAAACTGGAATCAATGGGCATCGGGGCATACTCTACACTAGTTGGAGACATACCTGGCGCATAGGAAGCTGGTTGTAGCTGTTGGAGGTCAGTCACCTCAGCTCCAGGACATCTCTGCAAGAGTTCCTCAGGGTAGACTCCTAGGCCCAATCCTCCTCTGTTGCTTCATCAATGATCTTACCTCTGTCATAAGGTCAGAAGTGGGGACGTTTGTTGAAGATTGTGTCGAATGTTTAGCACCATTTGTGACTCATCAGATACTGAAGCAGCCCATGTCCAAATGAAACCAGTTCTGGACAATATCCATGCTTGGGTTGACAAGTGGCAAGTAACATTTGTGCTCACAAATGCCAGGCAATGACCATCTCCAATAAAAGACAGTCTAACCACCATCCTTTGACATTCATATGTGTTATAATCACTAAATCTCTGACTATCAATATCCTGGGGGTTACTGTTGACCAGAAACTCAACTGGTTTCGCCACATAAACACAATGGCCACAAAAGCAGGTCAAAGGCTAGGAATACTGTGGTGAGTAACTCACCTCCTGACTCTCAAAGACTGTTCATCATCTACAAGGCACAAGTCAGGAGTGTGATGAAATAATCCCCCCCTCGTGTGGATGGGGACATCTTCAACAACACTCAAAATAACAACCCATGTCCACTCTGATCTAGAAGGACAATTGCATCAGTTAGATGGGAACACCACCGTCTATAAGTTCCCTTCCACATCACTCACCATTCTGACTTGGAAATATATCGGCATTCATTTATTGTCACTGGGCCAACATCCTGAAATTGCCTGTGCATTGTGGGTTGAACCTACAGCATGAGGACAGCAGTATGGTTCAAGAAGACAGCTCTCCACTACCTTGTTAAGGGCAATAAGAGACAGGCAATAAATGCTGGCCACCCAGCGATGTTCCAGTCCCACGAGTGAATTAAAAAAAATGTATTCTACATGGATTTCAGTAAGGCTTTTGATAAAGTCTAGCATGGCAGACTGGTTAAGAAGCTAGGAGCCCATGGGATCAAGGAGCATTTGGCAAATTGGCTTAGTGGTAGGAAGCAAAAAGTGATAATCAAAGATATCTTTGTGACTGAATGCTTGATGCTGGGTCCCTTGCTGCTTATGTACACTAAAGATGTGGAGATGAACATAGGAGGTATGATCAATAACCTCACAGACGACACAAAAATTGGTATGATAAATAGCAAGGAGAACGTTACTGTACAAAATGATATCTAGACTGGTCAGATGGGCGGAACAGTGGCAATTGGAAATTTAATCCTGAAAAATGAGAGACGTTGCATTTTGAGAGAACTAACAAGTCAAGAGAGTAAATATTGAATGGTAGGATTAGAGAACTATAGAGGATCAGAGGGACCTTTTGTGTGCATGTCTGTAGATCTTTTGAAGGCATTAGGACTAGTTTAGGACTGGCGTAAGGTGGTTAAGAAGGCATGGGGGATAATTACCTTTTGTTAATCAAGACATTTGAATAGAAGAACAAGGAGATTATGATGGAGATATCTATAATGTTAGTTAGGCCATGGCTGTGTACTGTTCTGGTCACCACATGATGGGAAGGATGTGATACGTTAGGAAAGATGCAGAAGAGACTTGCCAAGATATTGTCTGGGCTGGAGCAATTCGGCTATGAAGAGACCCTATATAGGATGAGGTAAAACAGCAGCGGATGCTGGAGATCCAAAACAAAAACTGAAATAGCTGGAGAAAGCCAGCAGGTCTGCTAGTATCTGTAGGAAGAAAACAGAGTTAATGTTTTGAGTCCTGTGACTATTCTTCAGAACCACCTGATAGGCTGGAGTTGCTTTCCTTAGAACTGAGGGGTTGATCTGATTTTGAGGTGGACAGAGTCATTTCAGTCATGTCAACAACGTGAATTCAATTCTTTCTACCAGCTAAGGTTACCATGAAGGACTCTTCTTCTCAACATTTCCCCTTGCCTGAGGTGTAGTGGGCATCAAGTTAAACCACCATTAGTCATCTCTGTCTCTAATGAGGGAGCAGTTCTATGATGTGGTATAGTTATGGTGACTTTACCAAAGTTATGTGGGCCATGGATAAGGTAGATAAGGGGAAACTTTCCCCTTTTAATAGAGGGGTCAATAACCAGTTTTAAGGCAACACGTAAGAGGTTTAAAGGGGATTTGAGGAAATATTCTTTCAACCAGAGGGCTGCGTGCGTCTGGAATCTATTGCCTAAAAGAGTGGTTGAAGTGTGAACCCTCAAGACATTTTAAGAAGTATTAGATGAGCACTTGAAATGCCATAGCATACAAGGCTATGGGCCAACTGCTGGAACATGGGTTTACAATAAAGGGAAGCTTGACCAGTGCAGCCAGGATGGGCTGAAGGGCTGCTGTACAAAATCTATGATTCTACTTTGTTTGCTGCATGGTAACTAAATATTAATATTTTGAGTTCCCAGTGTGCAATCTAGGGATTGTCCAGCAGAAAAGATGAACTACATCCTTTTGAACAATATATTCCATAGAAATGTATTAGTAATGAATGAATTGTTACTGTTTGCTCATTTCTTTTGAACTTCAAATAATCCGATGACAATTTGTCTGAGATGATAAAATTCCATTATCTAAGTCTTTCCATTTTCAAGAAATGAGTGTTTATCCAATGCATTTGCTAGCTTTTGGCATAGGTTTCCTGGATAGGTATAAAATAAATCTACTGATGACCCAGCAGATCTAGCAATAAAACAGTAAACTCCCGTCCTCAGAATCCAATTTTGAATTCCAGTTCTATTTGTCATTTGGTCTCAATTCCCTGCAATGGCTAGGTTTCAATAGCTTCAGGCCAGGGCCTTCAATGGAGCATTTCATGTTAAGATCACCAAGGGAGGAGAGAGCTAGACAGACACTCCCGTTGCACAGAAAATATATTTCTCATTCACAAATCATCAGATATCAATGAGGGTGGTCATTGAAGTTCAATGTAACAAGGCTCAAACAGGCTGGTGGCTGATAAGCTTCAGCGTTGCTTTTTCAATCGAAAAGTTTGAAACCCACTCTTCATTTTCACACAAGCTTCCCTGCGAATTGATGCTTTGCCAGTTTAGCTGAGTCATCAAACAGAGAAAATGAATTTGATATGCATTGAAGTCATTGCTTGCTAGCCAGCAACTGTCTATCTTGTTCAAGGGAATGCAAAAGATCTCTTGGCACCGTTGAAAAAAAGAACAAGGAATTTTCCTGGTGCCCTGGCCATTTTTCTCTTAAGCAATATTAGCAGAACAAGTTTAACAGCATTTTTGTTTTAACATTTTCATTAGTAGGAATTAGCTTTTAGTCTTGCATGGAACTGTTTCAACAGACCAGTGGACACTTGGACTCTCAGTCAAGAATTCATGTGGGATGTAGCTGAAATTTAACATCCAATAATCTATCAGAACTGCTGCATCAAAGCGGAAATAATGCTTGAATTGACAGTTCACTCCTTTTAGATCTATTTTATAAACAACATTTTTTTTAGCATGAAGTAGAGGAAGCAAGTGCTCGCAGTTCTGATATTAGTATTTGAATGGTCTGCATGATCCACAATGTTCTATAAGGCTTTAGAAAATGTAGTTTCTTTTTAAGAAAGTTGTGATTGAGTGAGTTTGTCTTAAAGCTTTTGCATACATGCCATTGTTACCGTCGGCTTAATTGACTCTCTATAGAGTGCGTACTAGGTCAGTAAACAAGGATGTGCCATATGTTAGCATGGACTTTGAGAGCCATTGGAAGTGGGTGCCATGCATAGGATTGCATGGATGGGGGGCACGTGAAATGTGCTGGGGAGAAGCTGCTGTTAGATGAAAGAGCTAGAGGGTCTAATGCTAAATAAAATTACAGGGTTAAGGCGAGTCTTTTAAATTGTTTAATTTGGCTACAAAGTGCTTTTGAGGCTTCAAGTGATAAGGAAAAGTGCTATATCAATGCAAATCCTTTTCTCTTCTTTTCACAGGAATGCAAAATGGAATTTTCACAGGTTCCAGGTTCAGGTTGTACTTCAGTAGTCAAGTGCAAAAGATTCAAGGTTGACATTCCATGACAGTATTGAAGGAGTACAGCACTGTTAAAGATGCTGCTTTTGGATGAAATGTTAATCTAAAATCTGCCTGCATGAATGGATGTACAAGATCCTAAGGCACTATTTTGGAAAAGAGGAGAAAGACTATCCTTGGTGTTCTGAACAGTATTTTGAAGAGTCTGAAGGTTGTCAAAATATCCATAAATAAAGTGGCAACAAAAGAGCCATTCCATCTACTGTACCTGTGCCATTTTATTGCAAGAGTTATTGAAATGTCGAATTAAATTCAGAGTTTAGAAAGATTACTTGCAACCCTTAACGAGGGCAATATCAGCACCGTGAAGTGAGATCTGCTCCAATTTGGGTACCTAGAGGTGACGTTGTTCTCCGGCAAAGGCCAACAAACAGTGGCAGTGAATTAGTAGCTAATTTTACATCAAATTCAACAAAAAAAACACTGGTCACGATGTCCTATGTTACTTAAAGAACAAACTAGACATAAAGTCTAGTCTAAAAACTAGACATGGTGCTATTACCGTGCATCTGTTGCCTTTGTATTTTAGGTGGTAGAGGTTGCGGCATTGGAAGACTAATGTCTAAACAGCCTTGGTGAGTTGTTGCAGTGCATTTTAAAGATGGTACACACTGCTGCCACTGTATATATATAATGTAGGGAGTGATTGTTAATAATGGGGTTTGAAATGCCAATCAAGCTCTTGCTTTGCTTTGCTTTGTTTTACCTTGGATGGTATTGGATGTCTTCAGTTTGTGCTTGAGCACGGCTCCAACAGGCAAGTGGAGAGCATTCCAGCACATTCCTGACTTGTGCCTTGAAAATGATGGGCAGGCACTGAGGAGATAGGAGGTGAGTTACTTGCTATGGAATTCCCAGCTTCTGACCAGCTTTGTAACCACAGTAGTTATGTAACTGTCACAGTTCAGTTTCTGGGAATAACCAGTTAATTTTAGGGATTCAGCAACCATGATGTTACTGAATGTCAATGTGAGATAGTTAGAGTCTCTCTGTGCAATCTTTAGCAAACATCCACACTTCTAACCTACTGATGTAAGGAAGATCATAAGATCAAACAGCTGAAAATGGTTGAGTATAGGACGCAATCTTGAGGAACTCCTGTTGTGATGTCCTGGGACTGAAATCATTGATCTCTAACGGCCACAATCATCTTCCTTTGTGCTAGGTATGATTCCAACCATTAGCGAGAATCCATCTGATTTTGCTGAGGGTCTTTGATGCCATATTTAGTGAAGTATTGCTTTGATGTCAAGAGCAGTCACTCTTCCCTCGCCTCTGGAGTTGAGCTCTTTCATCCATAATTGGACCAATGTGAACAGGTTATGGCTAAGTGAGTCCTGCTTGGTAACACTGTTGATTACCACTTCCAAACTTTATTGATGATCAAAAGTATTCTGATAAGGCAATAACTGACCAGGTTTTTCCTACAGAATTTTGAATAAGCGGTAAAGCAGAATTTGATGGACTAGAGTATCTTGAGAAGCACATTGTTAACTTTTTCTTTCCTGCATTCTTTGGCTCTAAAGTAGTTGCATCGTAGCTTGCTGATGATACAGATTGAAAACAGCCAGGAAAGGAAGCAGGACATCTGAAATGTTATTGACAGGACCGCCAGGGTGCCTTGTTGGTCAATGACATTTAAAATAAAAATGAGGAATGATTGAATGGTGGGTGAATTAGATTCAAATCTGATAGAAGCAGAAAATAGAAGAGAGGGAATCAAAGATTGAGTTAAAACAGCAAGAGAAATAAAACAGGCAGGAAAAGTTAGGAAACCCTTTAAAATGTTAAATTTTGAACATCTGTAGCAACAATTTATTACCTGGAAAAATGGCACCTCACAGTTAAAACTGTTCAGTTTTTGGCCCAGAAAGATTAGTTGCAATCATCAATAATTAACCGGTCATTAAAAATGTACTTTGGTTACTAATTACAAAACTGAACTTTCTATGATCAATTTAACCTGCAATTAATATGCATTTTCATCAAGCTCTTAATGAGAAACCTAAGGATGAAATGCCATTTATATGAAGTTATTGACAAAGTGACACAAATCATCCAAGTACTTTTACAGATTCATAACACATGGGCAATTTATCTGCAAGTTACTAGATGGCTGATAACATTAAACATGCAATTATTTTTACAAATAAAATCTGGCTAAATGTTCTTGGAGGGTCAATGATTGGCTGGCCAGAAAATATTTGAGAAGTTGATGCTATAAATGACAATGTCGGATGAAGGTTTCAGTAGCGGGTGGGTGAATGGTGGTGGAAATAAGCCATCAGTTTGATATAGATAACAAAGGGTTGGAAGATCAGACTGGTGTTGAATCAGTTAGTGAGGTTATTAACAGTCTGGAGGGAAGTGGGTTGGTATCAATGGTACAGAGTTTGTGATAGGGTTCATACAGATTATGGCTTCAGTTTTGCGGGTGTTTAGCTGGAGTAGATTTGTGTTTTAATTTGGCCTGACAACATAATGGCAGATGAATGGAGAGAAGTGAAAATCAACAGTGTACATATAAAGCTAACCCAATATCTGTGGAGTAAAGATGAGGAGGGGTTCAAGATAGGTATTCCTGTTAACACTGCCTGCCACACATTTTCCTAGTAGACTCATTAGAAATAATCTTTTATGTCTTTCCACTGCAGGGCATCCCTAGCATGCAGTGGAAGTTTGGAAATCAGATGAGTATCTACAATAGTTATTCATGATTTCCATTAGAAAGAAGTCTGATTCCCTAAAATTACTTTAGTGACTGAGTTGACCACATTTAATGTAGAATTATGGGATGTTTTGTGATCCAAAAGAAGCTAGGCTAAACTTAGAAGCTCTGCTTCAAGTTCTTAGAGTTAGCTGAGCAAGGGGAATTTCAGTCCATCAGTTGCAGACCTGATTCAAATTCAGGTCCCAGCAATAAAAGGCTAGCAGGCAATTTCAATGCATCACTTATTGCGCCAACCACAATGTATAATTTTTAGATCAGGTGGAGTCATGCCTTGAACATAATTAACAAGTTCATACCAGGCTTTCCACTGGTTGGAAACAAAGCTGAAGGTGTTATGTGCATGCAGAATAGCATTTACTTTAATTGTGGTTATTTACATCTCTTTTTGCTTGTATTAATTATTCTGCCATGAAACTTAACTCGTACTCACTGGAAAATAGAGGATAAAAGAATACCACAAAATTAAAGTTTCAGCAGTTCTTAGCCACCATCTGAAGCGTGGATTAAATTACTGCTTTCAAATTGCTGCAGGCTATTTTTTAATAACTCTTTATACTGTTAATTTGATAAATTGGTTTTACTGAGTTGTGCTGATGGTGGCTGTTAGTACATTCGGTTTCATTGAAGTGTGATGAGATTCACACTAGTGGATTAATCATTGCTGATATATTGTATACATTACAAATCTCCCAGTGGAACCCTGGATTACTTTCCTAACTCTGAGTTCCTGATGTTCCAGCCAGATATCCTGATTGTGTAACTTCACACAATGCAGTTGGAAGGTTTTCTGGCAACATTTAGGAGTCAGCACCTGGTGCAGATATAATGGAATTCTCCTGGATGGATTGAGAGAATTGCAAGAGTTGTTGCAATATTTTGGCAACAAGTTTTCAGCATTTGTGGAATTGCTGTGAGCAGGAAGTGTTGGAGGGTGGGGGTGTGTAATGGAGACACTTGTATTTTCCTTGAGCCTGATTTCCCATAAGCAGAACTTGATGCCAATGCTTCTCACCATTTCCAGTATTGGTTACCAGGGATTAATGCAGCTACTATTGAGATCAGCACGCTGGGATGGAAACTTTTTGATTGATCGACCGTAGATTGAGTAGTTGCACAGGCTAAGGAAGAGAATTTAAAGATTTCTGAATATTGTTTTAAACTTCTGCCAATACTTACAGGCTGCTAAGGCAGGCAAATGCTAGGCTGTGGCCCTAAACACCAGTCAGACCCTCCACAGAAAGGTAGGAAGTCCATGTGCAGTCTGCAATTGAAGACAACTTCTTATTTTCCAGAAGGATTTAGATTTGTTCTTAAGGCCAAAGGGTGTAAGTGGGAACATGGTACTGAGTAGGATAGTCAGCCATGATCGTATGAATGATGGAGCAGAATTGATTGGCTGAATGGCTTACTGTTGTTCCTGTTTTCTGTTTTTCTGTCTTTATGTAATAACATTCAGAAGGTTGGCATTCGTGCAAAGGATGTGTCTTATGTCGACAGGAAATTCTATCACATTGAATGGAAATTTCCACATCTGTTGAAACAGGCCATACTTGTGGTTGATTGCTGGGAAATCTTGTGGCTGGGGTAATTTGTTCAGCAGAAAACTTAATTATTTGAAGAGTGTATTCACACTATAACTGTTGCATTGGTGGCAAGTGGGTTCACTTTACACTAGTGGTGCATTAAGAGCACAAATACAGCCTGAATCTGATGTGAGGATCCAAGTAATGATCACTTTTCTAAAAAAAAGTGCAAAGCTGATTTCAATTACCAAACAAAATGTTGCAAACCAAACTGTCTTGCATTCAGAGTTGGTTCATAATTTAATCAATGACCTCATATAATGCATCACTTACAGCTTTAAACAAGCATCAAGAAATCCACATTACTGATGATAACTGAACTCGGGTATAGGAACATTTATGGGTGAGCAGGGTCTGTGAAACCATTTGTTAAAAGAGGAGGGCAAAAACAAGTAATTTTTAATGGATGGTAAAGGAGATCAATAAAGATAAAACAACATAGCCCAGGACAAAGGCCTCAATGAAAAATTACTCCTTGAAGAAAGCTAAAAAGGTCAAAGATAGGAAAAGAGATAACAGAAGAGTGCACTTACTGTGGTTAAGAATCATCATGTGGATTGTAAGGTGGCAAAGCCTTGGGGCGCAGAATACTTCTGGTGGGGCCAAGGTGCCAAGGGTCATTTGTCAGTTCAAATGCTTCAAGTGTTATTTGACAAAGATTTATTTGCTTAAATTAAGGGTGGAAATGACTAAAAGTACAAGAAGAAATTTCCATAATGTCACTGAAACATCAATCTTTCAGGGAAGATAGGAGATCTGGCATTATCAATGGTTGCTTCCTATTGATGGTCCTGATTTTACATGTTAAATTCACTGCTGCATGTGGACAATTTGGTTAATTCTCCCCCTCTTCCACCCAGGGCTACTGGGGCTAAAGATAATAC